TTTTATATACACGGTAATTATTAAAAATTGTAAAGAATTCAATATTTTCTAATCACCCATCGAAACATTCTTTTAATAAATTAAGGAATAAAACTAAATAGTTTTACTTATAAATTGTGTATGTAAAAAGTGGTTGTTATTTTCTATTCCAACTAAATATTTAGATAGTAAGTGATCATCTATTTCTTTGAAAACTTTTTTTGACGTTCATAGTAGGAGTAACTAGAAAATTGTGAGTGGTAAGACACAGAATACATGATTTTTTAAAAAGTTCATCCAAGATAGCGTAAATGATGATGATCATTAGTTTTTTCTTTTTTTGGTAGTAGAAAACAGACTATCGAAGAAAAGACGACGCCTAGTCTGATCCATCCTTGGTTGCTTCGCTAATTTTTAAGCAGAAATTCAAGTGAAAATTGGCTTCATTTGGACTCGAATAAGCTTCGAAAACCATTTTTTTTTCATATGGTCGTTTGTCTCTCTCATTATCAATATTCTGTATTTGCCATATTCGATTTGATACATGTGACAATTTCGAACTATGACAATTTTAAATTAACAATAAATTATTTTTTTTTCCATGAATATATACACGCATCTCATTTGTGGAATAAAAGTCAATATGAATATAAGCATAAAAGACATGAATAGATTTTTCTATTCTTTATAATAATCTTATCTTGAAAGAAAAAAAGAAGATTCATATAAATGATTATTGTTTTTGAAAAGTATTAGCATTTCCATATTTTCTTTTTTTTTTCTTCAATAATTATTTGTCATTTACGTCAAAAATATGTCAAAAAAAAAGTTTTCTTTTCTCGTTTACTTTTATGGTATTCTTCATTATGAGCCAATTTTTTTCTTATTATCTCTTTAGGATAGAAAAGAAAACTGTATTAAATATTGATGTTCTCGCTTATTTTAATTGCAATATAAGTTACTTTTCATATTATTTTTCTATATTTATTAAATATGTATTGCTTGAGGCACAAGTATATAATAAGAGAAGTAATTTTCACGTCCTCTATCTTATTTTTATAAGAATACCACTTAACATAAAAGTAAGAACGAGATTTTGCGTTTTTTTCTTATTTTTGACATCCGACAATGTCAACATCATTAATGATGTAAGAATGTAGTTAGAATTGTGCGTACATATACAGTGACTGTCAAAATTATTTGACAATGGCATTTTTTTTTTACTGCCGTCAATGGTAATTAGAATCCAATTAGTGATTTATGTAGAAAATTTTATTGTCGAAGATGAAAATGCTTAGTAATTTTCCAGCAATAGATTCTTTGAAAAACCAAGTTTTTCATCCATCGGAATTATGTTTGAAGTATCCAGCTTGAAAGAATAAACCATTCTCTAGAAAGTGAAACATGTTTCAGCACTCTGCGGCATTTTTATGACAGAGATACATTAACCTGACGGAAGGCACAAAAATGATGTTTCTTTACGAAACAGTAGAAAAAGAAAAACGACTTTTGGTGCTTTCCGTCAGATTAATGTATCTCGATCAAAAGTAAAAAAACGTTGTTGTGAACTGGAAGATGTTTCATTTTGTAGAGAACCGCTTGTTCTATCATTCTGGGTAGGTCAAATAGAATTCTAGATGATGAAAAACTTGAGTTTTAGTTTTTGACAGATCCTATCTTTGAAATACTAGTAATCATTTTTATTTTTGAAAATAAAATTCTCTACATAAATCATTATTTGGATTCCTATTAGCGTTGATGGTAGTGGAAAAAAAGGTGAAAATACATATCGTCAAACAATTTTATGAGTTACTGTTTATATGTAAGATCAATTCAAGATTCAAAGAGAGCGTAATACGCAAGAAATATGAGTGTAAACTACTGAAAATGCAATATTAAAGCAAAGTTTTGTTTCTTTGCTTTACACATGGTGAGATAGAGTGTAATGAGTTTATCAAGAAGATATGCATTTTCAATTTCTTCATATGACTGTTTTTTTTAGAAGAAATTTTTCAGTTGTTTTCAAATGAGCTGCTTTTTCTGACAGACAAGTCTATTTTCGATAACTGACAAATTTTCAATTGGCTCATTTCCTTGACATTTCAAAACTGTTTGTTTCAGGTTGAGCGTAAAAGATTGAATCTGGGAAAGTCATTTATAAATGACTTTCCCGGACTCATTCTTTCATGACAAGTCTGAAACAAACAGTTTTGAAATGTACAGAACATAAACTAATTGAAAATTTGTCCGTTAACGAAAATTGGCCTGTTTGTCAGAAAAAGCAGGTCATCCAAAACACTGAACGTTTTCTCCTAAACAAAATTATTCCAAGAAATTGAACACGCCATATTCTTGATTAATTCATCACGCTCTATTTTACCATGCGTTAATTAGAGAAAAAAACTTCTGCTTTAACCTTGCATTTCCGGCACCTTATATTTCAACCATATAATTGTGTTGATTCAGAAAAGAAAGTAATATTTTGACGTATATTATCTATCGTAACTTAAATTTCATGTTTTGTTAATATTTATCATTAATATTAAATACAATTAATAATCACAGTAGATTTCAGGTATAAGTAATAGAAAATGTCTATGTTAAAACATATATATAGAATATATTTATTCATTTGAATTACCAAGAGTCTTCTTTTTCTTAACCAATTTTCAACATATGTATGTAGATATCATTTTATTTTAATTTTTAAATAACTATATATATATGCATAATAAGCTATTATTATAAATTTTATTAGCTTATGAAAATAAGTAAAATAGAAACGAGAAGAAAAAAGTTTATCGATAAGAGTAAAATGCATGACAAAAAGAAAAGGAAGAGATTTTTCTAGATAATGCGGTCTACTGAAAATGCGTATTCTAATTTCTTCAGCATATTCTGTTATTTAACGAATAGAGATAAATAAAAGAAGAAGAAAAAAAAAATAGAATGAAAATAAAAGAAAGAAAACCTTAGAAAGCTACATTATCCTGTGTCATCAGATTACCATTAACCAAAAAAAAAAAAGGAAACCTAGTCGGTCGTGTTAGAAGGATCTGTCATCACCAGCAATGACAGCAAACATAATAAAAAAATCTATGAATCGTCAATAATTTTAAATCAAAAGAAAAAAAGGTACTTAGGAATGATAAGCATGGCAGTAAGTTCTACTTTTGACACTTCATCAAAGTCACCATGTCGTTTTAGTGACTCTTATTATACATGGTAAAAGATTTATACTTTTTACATTGATTCAATTGTATCATTAATAAAAATTGTTTTATCATAAGAGAAAAAGCAATAGTAAGATTTAAAAAAAAACGTTTTTTTAACTTTTGCATAACTTTATTAATCTGCCGCTGGTAAGGATTAAATAGCATGACAACATAGTCTATTAACTTTTAGACTTGAAAAATCGTTAGGCATAACCTGTTGACTTTTACGTCGTCATAAAATAAAGATAATACCGATTTTATGTTTATTAGTGATTACATATGTAGAAAAGAATGTGCCCTTTTAATTTAGTTCAGTGTCGTTTTCTTTATTACTCTTTTCTTTCTCTATCTATCTCTCTCTCTCTCTCTGTCTCTGCTCTATTGTAGTTAGGAATAAATGATTTGATGATAATGATATGAATGAAAGAGGCCGTAAAAAAGAAACGAACGAGAAGACGAAGAAAATTGGAAAATCAATCAAAGCAAAAAAATAACTTAAGCACGTTGGTCTTTTTCTTTTTCCTTTATCCAATCGCTCATCCTTGTTCTTATACTATAGCCTAAAATAACTTTGCGTGTTCAAGTGATCCAACTCGTTAACTACAGTTATTTATGAAGATGATGAAGATGAATAGGATATATTCGGTTTTTTTTTCATGTTTTCTCTCTCTCTCTCGATCTTCTTTTTCTCTTCTTCTTGCCACTCCAAAGTAAATAATCATCATCTCGGATATTATTGTAGAGTTTTATTTTAGATACATCCACTCATTTCAGATGTGACAAAATAAAAAATAAGTAGCATAGATATATATAAATATATATATATATACATACACGAATATAAGCCTCATACATTCTTTTCTTTGACTATGGTATCAATTTCGTGGACATCTATAGAACTTGTAACGGTTTGTTTTGGTATTGTCTTAATTATATTATTAACAATCGGTGGTAATCTTGTTGTACTTTTTGCTTTCTACAACGATCCACATTTGTTAACACCATCAAATAATTTTCTTTTATCAATGGCTATTGCTGATCTTCTTGTAGGTCTTATTGCAATGCCATTTTATTCGTAAGTTAAAAAAAACGAAAATGATAAAATTTGGATTTTTTTTCTCTCTAAAAAAAGGTATGCTCAAATAAAAAATTTTTGGCCATTTGGCCAATTTTTTTGTAAAATATGGTTAACAATTGATGATGTTGCAACTATGGCTAGTGTTTTATCAATTGTAGCTATAACTATAGAACGTTATTGGAGTATTAATCATAGTGTACATTATCGTCGTTATACGACAAAAACTCGTATAAGAATATTTTCTCTTCTTATTTGGCTTATTCCATTTTTGAATTTTGCCCCTGGTATTTGGTTTCTTGAATCACATGAAGATATTCGTACAACAAATACAACAAAAAAAAATCATTCAGAATGTATTGGTGCCTATCATTCACATACAATATATTTAATAATTGCTCAAATAAATTTTTTTGCATGGCCATTAGTTGTTATTATTATACTTAATGCTTTAATTGTTGTTAATCTTTATCAACGATCACATCGTTTTCCAACTTATGACAGTTTTTATGAACAACGAAAAAATGATTTATTAAAAAAATCAAAAGAAAAAAATATTGACGAAAGACAACAACAAACCACTGAAAATGATGATAATGCAGTATCAATCACTAATGAAAGCAATTATTATATGTTGCGACAAACGAATTCAGAGGTAATTAATTCATGAGAATAGTTCTTGAGTAAATACTACTAAATAAGTCAATGTATATTCCAGAAATATTTTCTCGAAGAAAATTTTTAATTAAAAACTTAAGATATATTTGTTGAGATTCTAATAAATCTTATATCACGGGTCATCTGATTTCAGGGGACATTATTAATCAAGAATCCATTTCTTATCATAGATACATCACAGATGAATGTGATAAGAAGTTTTTTTTTATCTCTTTTGAAAAATAGATGTCACGTTGGCGTCTAATCTTGGATTAAGAAAAGCAGTCAAAATTCAAATTAAGATTATTTTTATTAACGAAAGTACGATGGAATTATGCATATTTATTTTAAAATTAGCTAGTTAGATTAGTACTATTATTTTTCTTTCATTCATCATTCATACTTAATTTTGACATTCATATAATTTTTATTGAAACTAATTTGAAGTCTATTTCATTGTTCTCAATTTATCATTAGACGTTTATATTCAGTTTTGAAAGTATTTTATATGAAACTGTTTTTTCTTTTCTTTCTTTGAATCAATACCTTTGAGAATTCTAGACGTTTTCATTTATTTTCATATATGTTATAGATCAATAATGATAATAATTATGGAAATATTCCACCGACTATCAAAGAAGTTGACGAGACTATTATTGAACATGATATAGTTGAATCTTTACCATCACCACCAAGTCTGCCATGTTCACCAATAGAAATAGATACAAAACAATTGTCGTCAACATCAAATATTTATACACGTTTTAAACATGTTTTTCTTCCTTCATCAATATCAATGGACTCAGCGTTAACTGATCGTCGTTCATCAAAATCAACTCAAACATTTCATTTACCATTACAGCCAAATAAAGAAAAACAACGATCTATATTTTCATGGCGTCATAGTACGTGTTATTTATCAACAAAAAGTAAAAACATGAATTCAGTCACTGGTGAACAACGTAATGTTCGACGTTTAAGGCGAGACAAACGTGCAGCAACATCACTTCTTATACTTGTTCTTGTATTCATGATTTTTTTATTGCCTTATGTTGTTGTTGTTGTTGCTGGAAGTATTTTTTCATTAGAAATCTTAACCGATACAAACGGACAAGTATATTCAGCTGCTTTTTGGCTTCTATGGCTTAATTCAACTGTCAATCCAATTCTCTATCCATTTATTCAACCAAAGTTCCGTGATGCATATAGAAAAATCTTTTTAAGATTAACAAGACGACGACGAAGATTAGTTTCACTTATCATTGACATTCAACGAGATAAATAAACAACTTAATTTTATTATATTTTTGTGTAAAATTGGTAACAATAAGAAAACGAAACGAAACAACACAAGATAAACGTAATTATTTTAAGTTTTCTATAATGCTCAGTTCAATTTAGATTTTTTATATGATTGTCTTGGTAATATCAAGCTTAAATAAAGTAGACTTATCGTGTTTTTTGAAATGTATAAAGAATATATGTGTGACATTTTGTTTCTTCTTTTTTGCATATAAATAAAATGAAACTACAACATATATGATGTGCAATAATAACTATTGATCGTCATCTTAATAACTAAGATAGTTCAGAGTTTCACAAGTCGCCATATTTCTTCGTAGTAGTATATTTGTTTATTTGCATTAACGGCACTATGGCAAAACATAGGAGTAGCAAACAGAGAAATAATTCAGTTGATGCTGAAGATAAAGCATTTGATGACAAGAGTAATATGTGGAGGTGGTGAACCGGAGTGTCAACACATTTGCAAAAGACTCGGATGTTGATCGACGAAATAGAACTGAATCAACGTTTGCACTCAACCACACTTGAAATTCGTCTAAAAGCACATCGATAAGAAAGGATCTGAACAAACAAAGATAAACAGTTTTTCAAACAAAAATTAGAATAAGACATCTACTATATTTCCAAATTGACAAGATTCGTAAATAGTACATTCCCTTTTTCTTATTGATCATTACATACATTTAACAGATTAATTTATTCAGAATCTATCAACGATAGTAACATTGATTCTATTGGAAAAAATTTTGCTTCATATTTCATCAACAAAAATTAAACGTTCTCGAAAAACTTTCAAAACTAAGTATCTTTATTTTAATGAAAATATTTGCAAAAATAAGAACAACAACAACAACAGAATACGAATCCGCACCATATTTATTAATTACTAAACGAAGACACAAGCACACACATAAGAAAAGAACTATTACATTAATCAGACTAATACACAAATTGAAATTTTTTCACAATAGTTATGAGTTATAGTGGAAAATATAAATGATTGTCATTTTTTAGTATTCTACTTGATCTATTTATGTTCTTCTGATGGTGGTCTGCAACCCAATATATAGCACATACCACTAATTAGAGCAATAACAAGAAAGAAACCTAAAATATTCAGTACAAAAATTTATATCTTTATTTGTTGTTTTTTGTTCTTTTAAATAACTTGCCTGAAAGACAAAATTGAATAACAGCCCAAACAGGAAAAAAACCATTTAGTAAACCATCTGGATCAGGTCGTCCAAAATGATCACGTGTTAATGCAATTATTTCATCTTTTGCTAGATCCGTTCCTCTAACATCAACACAATAGACTAGAAAACCCAATGTAATATATAATTATATGAAATGAAAAAACAAAATCTCCTGTCACTAACCAGTTGTTACTACTATTGCATAGATTACAAGAAAGCCGGATAAAGTAGTAATGAACGAATTCATTGTCTTATTAAATTGTACGAATAAAAACGTTCTACAATAAAAAAAACTAAAATAAAAATGAAAATCATCGATGTACATATTCATGCGAAATCCATAAACACCAAGAATAATAACAGTATAGTAATCAGAAAAAAACATCATTTCTTTATTTTAGTGATCATTATTCGCATTGACGACAAACGTAATTCAGTCAAGCGAATAGACGAACGAAAAAAGAAAAAAAAAGGACGAAGTCAAAAAGAAACCTTATATGATATATCAAGTGTAACTCATAGCGAAAAAAAAAATTAGGGACCAAGAATATTTTTCTTTTCTTTATTAACCAGAGAACGAGTACAAAAAATAACGATGAAACGAAAGATACTTGTGTGAATGTATTCCGTGATACTCGTAAAGAAGAAAACACATGTCTATACAAATCAAAGTATAATAATACTAAGTTTAATAGACAAACTATGTGTGGCTATGAAAACTAAGAAAACTCTTGTGAAGAACAATATAAAATAGAGAATTCAATGTTTGAATCTTGTACAAATGTCATACGATAAGGAAAACAATTATGTTCCTAAATGTACTATCAAAATAAAAACTGTATTAAGAAACACTGTTGACATAAAATTTAAAACAGATTTAAATCACCTTTTCGAAATGAATTGAATTTTAATGCACCAATACAAAAATAGTTCAATTGAACAATGAAATATATATATATATGTATGTATATCAATATGAATAGACAAATAAATGAAAGCGATGTCGCTCGAATGTGTCTGGACAATTGAAACAGTACATTAGATTAGTACAATATTGTATAGATCATGAGTTTCTACAGCAGCAACAGATGACTGAACAATAATGAAATTATACTATTTTCATACATGTGCGTTACACTATAGAGGCTATTCTAAATTTTGATTAGTGGATTAACTGATTTTGGTTTGAAACGGAAATAAAATTCTTTTATTTCTCTAATGTGTTTAGGTTCCATCAACCTCTATATAAATCAAATTTTTTATTTGCTAACCATTGCTGAAAATGTACGTAGCAGTTTTTTTTTACCGGTGGATTTGCATGAAAATTGGTTCAATGACATTTTAGAGTTATCTCTAAATAGAAACTGAGTTTAATGAGATAATTCTGTTAGTACTTGCCCTTTGCAATATACGAAATAGTTTAGCAATAAAGAGTTGCTTGAATGTATTTTTATGAATCTGTTAAGATAAAAAAAGATAATCCTTTTGCTTAGACACAATATTTCTGTAAATCTATGTTAAACACATTTTCTTTTACTTATCAAATTCTGACAGCGATTTACTTATCCAACAACCGAAAAATCGTAATAAAATAAAAATGAAGACAAAACAAAGAAATTAATTACATTTTTGAAAATCTGATAATCATTTCACATTGTTTGATCTGTAAGAACATTTGGCAAATAGTTGTGCACAGTTTGATTGTTCTAGAGAAGATACATGATCTAAATTACTTTAAATATATTTCTAAGCTTTCATTTGAATTCATGTTCGTTTGATTATATTCAACGTTTGTATTCCTATGTCATCATATCATTATACATGACTATTTGGTGATCAAATTAAATTATGAATTATTACATCATATTTTACTTCACAAATTATAAAAATTGTGTGATTACTTGTATAACAATGAATGAAGAACATTGCCGAACATTGATTATAGATAATGGTTCATTTTATTATTGTTAATGATGAGTAACCTTAGATTTTTTTGGGATCAAAACATTACTTTTCATCGAGAAATTCTTGTTTGTCTTTCACTACTAAACGATTATTATTAGAAAATTATTTCGAATTTTACTGTTGTTTAATTGAATGATGCTTCAGGAGAAGCGGAAGCATGAATTTTCAACTATCATTTTGCATTGTTCAATATAACATTATGCATAAATGATAATAGTAAGAGGTCGTAGGTTTTTCATTTAATCAATTTCTTCTTCATAAGTAGTTTGTTAAACTATAATACTTAATTTTAGTCTAATCAACTATCTATTATCTTATATATGAACATGATATGTTGATTTAATATAGATATATACAAAATAATATGTTATGAAACCGCATAGCGATTTTCTTTTTTTTTGTTTTAATTGTATAATCCAAGCACCGGACAATAAAAACAAAAGCAATTAAAATAAAACTAAAAAATTATAAGTAATCAAAATTATCTACAGTTCGTTGTTTATTAATCGTGTTCATGTGTATTAGTATTTCAATAAAATAAAATCCAAAAATATCCACCTAAAAGAAAAAAAAGAACATTTAAATTTAAATCAAACACATATATCTATAAATATGATTAATCAATACAACATCAAAACATTAACAAAGCCATCTATTACATTAGTACACGCACTTATATATTAATTACCGTTAATATTTTTATATTCGATGGATAGGGATGAAGAAAGAATTAACTATTCGTTTGGAGCATCAGGATCCACTTCATTATTCGATGCAGGTCTTGGTAATGGTGGTGGTCGCTATAAAGCAAAAATTAAAGCATTGGGAATGGTATTAGCTAATTGAATAATCAAAAATTTAAGAAATGTCAATGAAGAAAAGGGAAGGGGAAGGGGAAGGTAAGTTAGTGATTACTATGACAAACAGAATATCTACTCAAATATTTTGAATATATTTGTTTTATTGCTTTTTTTTATTTATTTATTTGTTTTTTCAGTTCTTTTGTATTTGATGACGATTGTTCCAAAATGTTGATAATGGTTGAGCAGCATGATTTGTTGTTATTGCTAAATTTCTGTTATCAACATTTGCATTATAATATTCCAAACGAGCAAGAATATTTTCGTTCATTTCACGTAAAGCACGTACTTCACAATATAACTACATACATGCATACACAAAAAATCAGTTTAACATAGCGTACTGATAAGCATAGCAATGCACAATTATTAAAAAAATCATTTATCACCTTATCACAAATTGACCTTAGTATTTTATTTTGTTGATTATTTTGATAGAAAAAAAATACTTCAAAAACATATAGATAAATGTATGTTAGATCAAATTAACTTTCTTAGATTCGTTTAATTCTAATATGACCACGTCTAGAACTAACGTTTATTGTCTACCTGGGCTCTCTGTGCGGAACCCAATTGATAAAATAACTATAACACACGAAGTTATTACTAGTTTATCATAGACATGTGAAGAATTGATTGCAAATAGAACAAACAGTCAAGCAGTTTGAAGTATATTTATCTAATTTGTTTTTATGGTCTTATTATTCTTTATTTTCGAGATATTTGAAATCATCCATCACCATTCGCATATACTTTGTACTGTTTTACATAAGAAAAACAATTGAATGCGATTTGCGTTTGAAATGAAACCTCAGTTATTACGTAGAGTTTGTTGAGACAAGAAGAAACCTAGAAGAATTGTTCTTCATGTACTACCTTTTTGGAATGTTATTCATAAAAATACTGGACAAACGAATTTTTTCCATAAACAGCTCTTCGAGAGCTGTCAACGGAGAAAGTTTTCAGCAAAAATTTGTTTGTTCGACTTTTTTTTCAAAAATACTTTGCTAAAGATAGAAAACCCGGTGTAACGGCCATAAATCCAAAAGGACAGGGCATGAGAAAGCATCTTTCTAAGCTTCGTATAGTCTCAACAGGCGCTACGTAATGATTTGGATCCCATCTCAAACGTAAGGCATCATCTCGAGTGGTTTTGTCATACGCGTCCTCAACGTATATCTAAAAGAATATGGTTCTATCATATGTTATAAATTCATAATATAAAAATGAATCTCATACTGGGATCCGAGCGTACCCCAGCTAGTGAACAAACATTCATGTATACTCCAGAATGGTTTACTCACATAAAAAAATAGTTGTGTGCAACTGGCAGATATTATTAGCATACTCTTCCGGTCTTTACTAGAGCATATTTAGCAGATGAATGATTTCATCTAATATTGTGTACTTATGATAATGCGATTAAATTGTCTGAGGTCTGCACGAACTCTAGACAGTCATGTCAGACTTATACTAACCAAAAAGACTTTTAATAGAATTAATGTCATTCATTATTTGCTTTTATATTTTCTTTAATCTAATCTAGTGATTTGGGAATTCTAATGTAATATTAAAAATTGTGAAATAAATCATAACATGCATTAAATGCATGCAAAAAAAGACACATAATTAAATACCTCCTCAATTTCATGTTTTAAGTCTTCCTATTGAGAGAAATATTCTATAAAATTAAAATTCATTTTGACTGAATCTATACATACATATTCAACATCTTGTTGTTTCACTGATCTTGTAGATTGCGGAGCAGCCATAGAACGTTGCATATGTCCAAAATCTTTACGTAAACGTTCAATCTCATCTTTTCTATATGAAAAAAAAATCGCCAATAGAAAATATATATAAATATGAAAAAGTTTCTTTTACGTTCGAAAATTTTCTTCTTGAGAAAATTTCATACATTCTTGTCTTATTGATGATACTTTTTCATTTAGATTGTAAATCTATATATGATATTTAATTTGTCGAAAAAAACAAAAATTTCTACGCTATATTCTACTTCTTGTGGTAATGTATCTCGTAAATTCATTAGACGAGCCATTTTTTGATCAACTTCTCTTCGCCACATATCTTGATCAGCTTGTTTATCACGTATTTGATTTGACAATTGTTGCTCACTCTAAAAATGCATCTTGAATTTCGTTTTAAATATAAATAAATTAAAACAAGCAGATTATTTTTACATATTGATAATTAAAGCAACGAGAGAAAAAAATTCAACAAAAACTTCAAATCATTCTACTATCAGTATGAATGTACATGTTGCTTTAAATGATTAACTAAAATATCATTGTTCTTTTTTCTAAACTTACCTGAGCCAAACGTTGATTTACTTGTTCTTCGAGCAAATTTAAATCAACACGTACATTATTAATACGTTGTTCATGTTTAACAAGTGCCTGGG